CTCCAACTCAAAAAAAAAAAAAAAAAAATAGAAATGTAACTGAATAAATCTAGAACCTGAAATGCCTGCATTCCAAGTATACTCCACCTCGAATGAGGGTTTAGGCCAGAATTTCTCCCACCAGCTGGCAGGTTTGCTATGTCTTCGCCAAAGCCTGAGCTGCAAACGCACGCAGGTCGACTAGGACCCCTAGCCTCAGGATGCTGACGAGAGCACAAGCACTAAGGGGTTTTCATTGCTGGCTCAAGAGGACCTTTCCTATCTGCTGCTTCCAGGGAGCACGTCGATCTTCCAAATTCTTGGAGAGGAAGGGAGCGAGCGCTACGAGCCACAATAAAGTCATCACTGTCTGAAATCCAACCCCTAGAGGCAGGATCAGTGCTGCACTGATTTGCACTTCCAAAACAAACATTCCTGGCTGGTGGGCACTGGTTCTTTGCCATTCATCTTTCAGAGGGCATCATGAAAGTAAAATTTAAATACTTTAAAAATGAAAAACAGTCTTGGCCTAAACAAGTGATTCTGACAGTATTCACACTAAGCTATTAAAAAAAATTATCTTGTGAACAACTCCACAGATGTTATTTTCCAAAGGGCTGATTTATAGTAGACATTTGCTTTCAAGAATGTTAGCATCTGGCAGACAGAGTGTACTAAATCTTACTGCAATCCATCACCCTGCTGCTGGGATCAGAGGACATGAAATCAATGAGTCTAAGAAACGGCTAGGATTTTTTTTTTATTTAACTATTCAGTAAAACATTCATTATATGGCAGTGGATTTTTAAAGCCATATTTTGAAGGGAAGCTCAGCTTTTGAAGTGCAGTTATAGATCAAAAAGTTTTAGGTTCTATGTAAAAGAAATATGATTGCTTTCGCATGTGTTCCACTAGCCCTCTTGATGAAATCATTCCATAGCAAGACTTCACCTTAGGGTTTTTGGTTTTTTAATAAAAAAGTATTAAGTTCTCACAATGCAGGAGAGATGGAGACCTGGCATGGCACACTGGCTGCCCTGGTTTTATAAATACCATAAGAATTGGTCAAGCAGGCACATGGAAGTGAAGAAATTCTCTGATTGCTGACAGTCACTGCTAGCCATTCTGCACCCTCGTGACATGAGAAGAAGCCACCCCCACCTCCAGGCAGAAACAGTCTTTGCACAGCTTGGCCAGAAAACCACCATCTAGATTTTGCTGTCTCAGTGAGGCAATCTTTTTTCTTTTTTTTTTTTGAGTCGGAGTCTCACTCTGTCGCCCAGACTGCAGTGCAGTGGCCGCTCCCGGTCACCGCAGCCTCGACCTGCTGGACTCCAGCGATCCTTCCGCCTCAGCCTTCCAAGTAGGCAGAATTACAGGCATGCGCTACCATGCCCGGCTGATTTTTTGATTTATTGTAGAGATGAAGTCTTGCTGCCCAGGCGGGTTTCGAACCTGTGGGCTCAGGTAATCCACTCACCTCAGCCTCCCAAAGGCGCAGGATTACAGGCTGAGCCACCGAGCCCGGCTGAGGCAATCTTATATAGGATACAATGCACCCATTATCCATAGAAGCCCTGATTGCTGCATTAACTTTGTGCACAGAACACAGGCTCGATTCCCAGCTACTGCAGCAGATCTTCTGCTTCTAATTTAGGTCAAATTTGGTTCCATTCAAGATGGACATGGTGGCTCACGCCTGTAATCCCAGCACTTTGGGAGGCGGAAGTGAGAAGATTGCCTGAGCCCAGGCATTCGAGATCAGTCTGGGCAACTTGATGAGACTTCATCTCTACAATAAATTTTTTAAAAAATTAGTCAGGCGTGGTGGTGCAGTCCCAGCTACTTAGAAGGCTGAGGTAGAAGGATCAACTGAACCCAACAGGTCAAGGCTGCTGTAGCCATGAGCACGTCACTGTACTCCAGCATGGGTGATAGAGGAAGACTCCAACTCAAAAAATAAAGTTGGTTCTATTCACCCTGAGGCAGGGATGGCAAACAGGTTTCATCCCCAACATCATTTCTGATTAATTCAAAGATACTTTTCAGCAAATTCAGTTAAGAAAAATCATGGGCCAAGTATAGGTTCAACTAGAGAAGAGTGCTGTGATCTACTAGCCGTGTCTGCTGTGCCATGAGCACAGGAGGGGAGAATGGCAATGCACACACCATGTGTTTGTCACCCAGTCCTAAGGAATGTAAGAGGAGCTCCACCACCAATTGTTTCTTTTTTTTTTTTTTTTGAGTTGGAGTCTCACTCTGTCACCCAGGCTAGAATGCAATGGCATGCTCATGGTCAACCTAGTATCGACCTGCCGGGCTCAGGTGATCCTTCTGCCTCAGCCTTCCAAGTAGCTGGAACTACAAGCACATGCTACCACACCCAACTAATTTTTTGGTTTATAGTAGAGATGAGGTCTCGCCAAGTTGCCTAGGCGGGTCTCGAACCCGCGGGCTCAGGCAATCCACTCACCTCAGCCTCCCAAGGCGCAGGATTACAGGCTGAGCCACCGAGCCCGGCTACCAATTGTTTCTTAGAACTGAACTACTTAGTCCTTTTGGAAGTCCTTTAGCCCATTCTGGGATCCCATCCTGGCTAGAATATGAGGGTGCTAAGGTGATGACACAGCCCAAACATTTTTTTCCCCAGAGCTGTCTTGGAAGCAAGATGCTACAGGGGCTACCAAGCAGCAATTTTACGGGTGCTAAATCCTTCTGGGTAGATCACCTAGTCCTTGGCTCTTCTAGAAACATTGTCTCACAGAGAAATGGCCTTTTGGTCCAAAATGGCAATCAAAATTCCTCACACAAATCCAAACTCCTGTTTTAGAAAAACATTTCAAGCACAAAGATCTACAGGGTTGGGGGCAACAAGGAGCAACTCCCTGGTGAAGGAATTTATTGACATATTACGAAAAAAAGATCACCACCCTGTTGGCCTGTTGAGTCACAGAACTGCTGGTAGTCAAACTGAGATCTGCCCAGAAAGCAAATGGAAAACATGAAATGTGAGTAGTGTGCTTCCCAAGTGTGGACCCCCCTCCGCTCCAGCTACAGAAGATGCAAGTTCTTCTCAGATCCCAGAAACATGCAAGTGAAGCACGAAGACCCAGCACAGGGAGGGTCTGTGACAGCAGCATGAGTCCTCCAAGTCCAGTGTTGCATGTCCAGGCCACAGCCACCTCATTCCTCCCTGTCCTCAAAACCCTTCACCATCCACATGCACTCACCTGTGACCCTCTTGGCCGCCCAGTACTTCCCCATGGTCTCTAGCACCCAAGCTTCATCGCGGTCCACAATCAGATACGAGCTTTGGAAGCTATAGCAGGAGTCTGCGTCTTCATAATAATTCCCACCTTGTCCATGTTCTTGCAACAAGGAGACAATGACATCTAAGGCTTCTTTAGCTGTTTCCCCTCTTTCCAGACCAAGCCTGAAGTAAGGAAATCAGAAGCATACCTCAGTCACTTCATCCACCTGATTATCAACGTAATCATCAAAGACAGGGACAAGGCTGAGTCAGGAAGCACGCCCACCTGTATAAACGTGCTAATCACGCAGACCAACAGGCAAACTGACGGACAGCACTGTATCTCAGAACACTTCTCATGCACATTCAGTTAAACATCATGAGGGTGTTTTCTGTCTTTGGACATTCCCACTCCACACAGAAAAGTCAGGAACCCAGTGGCTTCTCTCTCTTGAAAGGAAGTTCAGCCACATCTCTTACCCCTTTCTGGGTGCATCTCCAGGGAGCTGGTTGGCTTAGCTCTAGCCCTTGGCGAGATAGCCTCTCTGAGGCTTGTGCTCCCTCCTGACTCTAACCTGGGCACAAGGAAATCTCACCTAGCCCAGACTTGATCACTATTATTCTACACAGGTATTTTGGTTAGCAATAAAAGTGTTCAATGGCCAGCCATTGTCCTCTGTCCATATAATTTGCTCAGAGATCTCATTAGGAATGGCCAACTGGTTGTGACATGATCAATCCTTTTTCTATATATTTCTCCTCCTACCTATAAGCCTATGTCTATTGGCTTAAGTTATCAAAAGAATACAAATTCCAGGCTGGGCTCAGTGGCTCAGCCTGTAATCCTGCGCCTTTGGGAGGCTGAGGTGAGTGGA